TATAGGACATTCCTCTCTGAAAAATACAATGCATTTTCTCAGTAACATTTTGTTCAATTTTCTCTTGTACTCTTATTGTCACAATTATAAATTAACACCAATCCATTCAGCAGCATGATTTGAACAGTACCTATCAAGAATAACAAGCAGGAAGTCCACAAGAATTTCTAGGTTAGTTTATTGGATCCATGGAAGGTGCTGTGTGTGCATAGGCAGATAATTATGAACACATATAGATGTGTATGTAGGATCCCTATACCCAGGGAACTTACTACCACTTATAGAAGACACAGTTAATGTAAGACTGGATTGTCAAAAGTCTTTCATTCCTGAAAGAAAGAAAATCATTTAATTATCCCATTTGACTGCCTACGTGTCCCAGGAGAGTCCTTTGGTCCCCAAGGAATTGAATAGTTCTTAGGAGGCAGGTTTCCTGAGGCACTAGAGTTATAAATGTCCCAGATAATTCTGCAGTTAAATAGAGCTCCAATATCACTAGAGCCAGACCTCATGCTTCAAATTCTTTGTAAGTGAGTCTGGGTAGAGGGTGCTGGTGGTGGGTTGTTTCAACATTAGCCAGAAGACTGGACACCTGGCACCCAATCTGTACTCCTTTTCATTCCCGAGTCAGTACTGAGGAAGTAGTATGTAAAAAGGAGAAGTAGAAACTGTATCCTATCTTAGGAAACATATACAAGAGCCTGTGTTCAGAGACATTCTCTCTTCTCCTCCTCTGTGTAGTTGATAATACCAGAAAAACTGGAGTTTGTCTACAGGAGTTAACAAATGGTAGGAGAACTGGTGTCCAGTTAAGATCATTTGAATGTTTTCAACTATGAATATAGGAATTTATGGGCATTAGAACCAAGATTCTGCCTACAAATCTTGAGTTATAGAGTAGGAGTTAATTATAATTTCTTTAACTTCTGAGTTTAGGAACAAAGACACGCTTGAGAGTCAATAAGATTCAGAAAGCAGCTCAACAGATTTCTAAAAAAACAAAATAAAACAACAACAACAACAAAAAACCTATGCCCGGAAGAGCAACAAACTATTTGTAACTGGATACGTTCAATAAGCTACTCCTGGGAGAGAGAGATATCTTACAGCTGTGTCTGAGTTTCATGATGTTAGGTGATCCCTAAATCATTTCATTTTTTAAAGCAGGGCCTCTTCGGACTTTTCTGTGGGCCTATGCTGCAGCCTGCGGAAAGGCTTAAGACGAAGATCTCTGCTTTAGTCTTTGACCTTTAACTTCTTGGTCTTCCTTATCCTGTCCCTGACTGTAACTAGAAACCCTTAGCTCCAGATCTTCAGCCCTAGTGCTGCCATTAACAAGTTATAATTGCAAAGCAAGGTTGAAAAGGAGAGACAAAAGAGAGAAAATATATAGGCAGATACTTTATTTCTAGGCCTGAGTAGATTATTCAATGGTTTTTAAATAAATTATGATTGAACAATACGCAAGATCATTCCAGAGAAAGGAGACAGAAAAGGAAGAGTAAATGAGTGAGGAAAAGAGATAAAGTAATCCTCCTATATAATCCTCAGAAATTTAATTCTAGTAATTAAAATAATTATTCCCAAACTCCTCAGGAGAACACACACACACACACACACACACACACACACACACACACACTTTTTCTTCAAGTTTTCTCCATGGACATTCTCGCCTGAATCTCCAAATTTTCCATTTGACTCTACCCTCCAAAGATCATTTCAAGATTCTTTCCACTTTCAAGCACAGAACATTTAATTCTTTCTAGGAAACCTTATGATCCCTGGAGAAGAAAAGCATCTTGGAGATGGTGAGATTTGAAAATATGATTTTTTTAATATTACATTTTGAAGAGTCTAGGTTCATAGGATGTGATGAGCAAAGAATATTTGACAAAAATTGAATGAGGAAGGTAATACTTAAAGGGCATATGTGGAATTAGACAGCCTGAAGTTGCACATACTATGGATACAAGCAAAGTTAGCAAGGTTGGGTCAATTGTGACATGTTATGGACTTAGCAAGTCCTATGAGTTTTAGTCCCAAACTTACAAGTTAATGCACTCAAAGGAAAGAGAAGAAAAGGCAGTAATCAATAAATGTAGCGTTCAGGGCATGAAAGTTTTTTGGTCACCAACTCTAAGATGAAAGTTATATTCTATGTTATTATCTTTAGAACATCCTTCAATTCCAGTATGTCTCATTCTCAGTGGGCCTCTCCATCAAGACACAATGCAAAAGTACTTGACAAGAGAAAATGAGATTGGAAGGCAGAGGGTATGGAGTTATAAAATAGAAAAGTAAACTACAAGCATGGCTATGAAAATGACAGAATTTGGAAGAGGTTGTCTCATGGGAGTCAAATCCAGGAAAACAACAAGAGGCACAAAACAAAAGTGGGCTAAAGACTGAATTGTACCCTGTGAGCAGTGGGAAGCAGGAGTCAGAGTTGCAAGAGGAGGGAAAAGAACAATCTTTCAGACAGCTGGAAGGATTGTGCCCATAGGATTGTGTGTGCATAGAGAGTGGGAGTGTGGAAGAAAAACTTAAAAACATTGTTTAAATGCCAAGTAATATAAGCATTTGTAGATCACAAGGGGAACACAGAACACAGGTATATTCATGTTTTCAGTGGCCTTGCACATGAAGCAGTCACTTAGACTTTTATTTGCTCTACATTTAAACCCTGCCACTTAGAATATGGGGAAGACATTTTAATTTGCCCATGTGAAAGAAATGTTTACAATTGTCAACTTATCTTACCTACTTCAGAGTATTGTGAGTCACAAATAACACAATATGTCTAAAATTCATTTTGAATTTGCCAAAGTCATTGCCAATACACTCTATTATTAGTAAGAGAAAAGGAATTGGAGGAATATCCAGATCTCCTCTACATATCAGGTGGAAGGGTCTGCTTAGGGAATCAGAGCACCACAAAGGAGTCCTAGGAAGGAATGCCTATACCCCCACCACTGAGAGCAACCTCAGTTACTGACAGGGTTTTTCTGATAAGGAGAGTGAAAGGAGCCAATGGAGCAAGGACTGGAATTGCATTTGGGGAATAGAAAAGATAAACAAAAATACTAGTTGAACCTCTTCTAAAAAAAATCTTTCTATCAGTATGAAAATATCCTACAGTTTAGAACTCACAGATTTATGATAACTTTTTTCTTTACCTCCACTCCAAAATGTTCTGCTCTGACAGATTTCTTAAATGATTAATTGTATTATAGGTGAAGTTTTATTTCCTTTTTATAGGACTAATGGGGCAAGTACATGTCATAGAATTATTTCTTAGGTCTGGAAGAGTCCTAGAAATTAATTCAAGTTTACCTTCAGTATTAGGCAGGATTTGGATTAGAATAATATGATATGGGTGGATAAGAACCTGGACTTTGAAATGTCAATTTCCTTGTTTGTAGGTGGTGATAATAAAACATATTTCACAGGATAGTGAATGATTAAATGGGATAAAATTCTACAACATTAAGCACAGTTCCCAGCAATTAGTAAAGATTCCAAAAATAACTATAAAATTTTGTTTTGCGAGTGAAACTGATGAAAAAGATACAGGGTAGTTCTTGATTTAAAAAAATTCTAAACCCACAAAATGATACCTCAACAGAAAAATCTCTGTTCCAGTACACAGATTTAGGTACAATAGATTGCATGATGTGAAGGATCCTGAAAAAACCTGAAGAGCTTCACTGACTGAACAACTGACCAACTGACTTTGCCAGCATAAGTACCAAGTGTCCTTTGTGCTCTCTTTCACAAATAAGGGGGAAAAGAATCTTAGAATCTTTCACCTTTAATGTAAATGGAGGCATCACATTATTCTATTTAAAATACCTTTTCTCCTTATCCCCCATGTCACAGCTAATCTCCCCTACCCTGCATTTTCATAATAATTTGTGCATAATCTTGTCATGCCAATATAATTTGTTCTTATCATCTGCCAGAATAGTTATAGTTTTATTTTCTTGAGAGCAAAGACAGTGCCCTATTAATTTTGTGATTCTAATATATAAGAGTATGCCAGGGAAACGGGTTAAATGGTAAGAGAATAATGACAAAGTTGAACTACTGTCTGGAGGGAGGGCAATGTGTACTTGCATTATTATATTCAAGAGGGAAAAAGGTAATGGAAAAAAGGTAAAAGAACTTTAAAAGTAGATTTTATCACCCCCACACTCTTACAATCAAAAGAACCAACTTTTCATCTTGTTCAGTGGCAAGCATTCATTGCTCCCTCATAGCTATGTGAAATTTCCCACTCTCCTTTTTAAACTGTTTCTTCCCAAAATTTGAAATTCTAAAACTTTGAAGTTCTAAGAAATAGAGAAATAAAGCAATTATTTAAGAGAGTCTGTTTGTCTTATAAAGATGAATTTTTAGACAAAATGGAACTAATTAACTTTACTTTCAGTGCATAATAAATAAAAATCTCTGATTAAGCAAAATAAATACATCTGAAAGGTTAGAAGAATAATGACATGGTGACTGGTAACATTTATCTGGGTCTTTTTTTGTGTCAGGTACCACTAGTTAGTTGGGCATATTGAAATAGGTAAATTGTAGATGTGGTAGTCTATGTGTACACTAAAAAGGAAATAAAGAAGAAACTTAGGAGAACATATTCAGAGTCTCATCTGTCAAAAAAGTAGTTTCCCAAGAAGCTTTATCCTTTTTAGTTTCCGTAAAAACATAGTAATTCTATTGAAAATAAACATTGGACATATCAAACATGTATGGATAAACCATATTTCCTCAGTTCTCTGCACTATTTGAAGTGATAGGAATACCCCAGTAACATGGCACTGAGGGTAAACAGATGCATTCACTTGACTCTAGATAACCTGCTAGAAACCACAAGTTGTACCTAGGTAAAACAAACTGTGCTATCTTCATGTATCTAATGTATGTATATGTTTCTAGAGTCAGCAGCTAATTCTTAATTCTAATTTTACAGATTTCTAAGAAAAACTTGTAAAAATATGTGGCAAAATATGACAGCACACCAAAATGACACCCTCTCTATTGAAGTTTCAGACTTTCTCTTGAATTGTTTTGTCAGATCCACCAGCTGGCAGCACTGGTTGTCCCTGCCCCTCAGTCTCCTCTTCCTCTTGGCCCTGGGGGCCAATGCTACCCTCCTCATTACCATCTGGCTGGAGGCCTCTCTGCATGAGCCCATGTACTACCTGCTCAGCCTTCTCTCCCTGCTAGATATTGTGCTCTGCCTCACTGTCATTCCCAAGGTTCTGGCCATCTTCTGGTTTGACCTCCGGACCATCAACTTCACTGCCTGCTTTCTCCAGATGTACATCATGAATTGCTTTCTAGCCATGGAATCCTGCACATTTATGGTCATGGCCTATGATCGTTATATAGCTATCTGCCACCCACTGAGGTATCCATCAATCATCACTGACAAATTTATAGTCAAGGCTGCCATTTTTATTTTGGCAAGGAATGTCTTTATGACTATGCCCATCCCCATTCTCTCAGCACGACTTTATTATTGTGGGAAAAATGTCATTGAGAACTGCATCTGTGCCAACATGTCTGTCTCCAGGCTCTCCTGTGACAATGTCATTATCAATCGCCTCTACCAATTTGCTGGAGGCTGGACTTTACTAGGATCTGATCTCATCCTCATCTTCCTCTCCTACACTCTCATACTGCGAGCTGTGATGAGACTCAAGGCAGAGAGTGCTGTGACCAAGGCCCTAAGCACATGTGGCTCCCACTTCATCCTTATTCTCTTCTTCAGCACCATCCTTCTGGTTTTTGTCCTCACGCATGTGACTAAGAAGAAGGTATCTCCTGATGTGCCAGTCTTGCTAAATATTCTCCACCATGTAATCCCTGCAGCCCTTAATCCCATTGTTTATGGAGTGAGAACCCAAGAGATTAAGCAGGGAATCCAAAGATTATTGAAGAAAGGGTTGTAATAGGGGCAACTAAATTCTGAATTTTTAAAATAGGGTAGTATCTTAATCAGTTAATGGGTGAATGAACTGAAACTCATACCTATGAGTTATAATCTCAAACTGAGTAAACTAGATATTGTGTATTCTTTTCTAAAACTCAGTTTTATTTTGTTTTTCTTTCACTCTTTTCTCATACATATCCTTGACCATTTCTTCTTTCTTGTTATCCTTATAACCTTATCTTGTCCAGAGCAGTAACATTCCTTAAATCAAGTTCTAAAAAGAGAAATATATGTTCCTGAATATGCAATGTTTTATATGTCAATAATTTTACATTCTTAAAAACAACTGCAGGTATTTATGGATTATGCAGTGTATGAAGTGTTTTATTCTTATTTTTATTAATTGAACAGTTCCTAATCACACACAGTCTTATTAATTCTGTTAGCTACTAAGAAGCTAGATTAGAATAGAACACAACAGAACAGTGTTGTTGATTTGAGCTCAGAGTTCGTTAGGAAGAATACAAACATGTGGGTAGTCTGGAGTGCAGTGAGAAATGATAAAAGATGCATGTATGGATGGTAAGACACTTGGCAATGTTAGAAAACATTGAATAAAGAGATGGCCTTCACCTGAGACCCAGTTCCACCACTACACAATATGTCCATGTAATGAATACGTATGTGTACACAGTGAATCTAAAATTTAAAAAATTAAAAATAGAAGAGAAGGCCTTGCACAATCACACACACATTTTAAAAAGTTGAATTCCTGCCTGGGAAGAAATCAGATAATCTCACTGTTTCACATTACTCATCAAATACCTGAGAATAGTGAACAATTAGTTTTAGGGTATTCTTTCTAAATACAAGATTGTGTGCTTCATTAGCAAGGTATAAGTGTATGTTACTTTCTTTTGATTGTGAACAAAAGAAATCTTTCAAGAGTCTAATAACAAGACGGTCCTCAAAGTCTAGATCTTTAAGTCTTAACTGAAAGCACCTAGGATTAAACCCTGGCCTACTCAAGTTTATATTCGTCAAAACAAAGCTCTATCCACTTATTTTTTCTTCTTCAACTTGCATTGAAAAAACAATAAATTAGCTTTTAATGTATTTGCTCTTGGGTATTCTGTAATCTACTCTTGAAAAATAAACATATACTCACACCTAACATGCAAATTTGAAAGCATATAATCAACATTTTAATTAGGAATTTCTTAAAAGTAAAAAAAATATATATTTTAAGATCCAACTATGTACATCTTTTTCTTTATTACTCAAAATAGAACTCCCTAAAATCTCATTCTCTCAAACTTTTCAACAAGAGAAAAGTGGCTTGACTTAAAATGTGCATAACAATACTAATGGGAGAGTTTTCCAAGATTACATTGTTTGTATGACAAATCAAGATGTCTACAATAAGATGTTAGAAAATAATATTGGATGCAAGATAAGGACTACACTGGAAAATTCAGAATACATATTTCCTGAGACTGATAAAGTTTTTGCATAAATCTTGTCTTCCAAAATAGATCTTTATATTTTAGAAATATATAGTAGAAAACTCTGCTTTCTTTCATTTATTTATAACCTTTAGATATTTATGGCATATATGTATTTGAGAATGAGGTGAACAAATTAACAATGTTTTTATTCCACTAAAACAATTGATACTAATAAGAATTTCCTCTAGAAAAGTACTGTTCAACATGAGTCACATATTAAACATTTTAGTAGACACATTTAAAAAGTAGAAACAAGTGAGATTAATTTTAATAATATAATTTACTTAATCCAATATTTTCAAAATATTATAATTTTTTGCATATAATAAACATAACGGGAATCATTAACGGGATATTGTTCATTCTTTTTGTAGTAAGTCTCTGAAATACAGTTTGTTTTACACTTAAAGCATGTCTCAATTCAAACTACCCACATTACAAAAACTCACTAGCAACTTGTAAGCAGTACCTACTGTATTAATCAGTGCTGCTCTAGACATTTTTCTTTAAAAGGCAGATGTGGTAGGACATAAGGTTAATTGTAAAAATGTATCCTTTTTGGAATGCAAGTTATATCCATAATATAATATATTTATTCTCATATTCCTTTATCTTGGCTGCAATTTTTCTTTTTTTTATGTTTTTTTTTTTTTTTTTTTGAGTTGAAGTCTCACTCTGTCGCCCAGACTGGAGTGCAGTAACCGCTCCCGGCTACTGCAGCCTCGACCTGCTGGGCTCCGGCGATCCTTCCGCCTCAGCCTTCCAAGTAACTGGAACTACAGGCACGCGCTACCATGCCTGGCTAATTTTTTGATTTATTGTAGAGATGAGATCTCGCCAAGTTTCCCAGGCGGGTCTTGAACACATGGACTCAGGCAATCCACTCACCTCAGCCCCCAAAGCGTCTGATTACAGGCTGAGCCACTGAGCCCTGCTGAAAACCAGGGTTTTAAAGAAGAAAAGAACGAGGGCCTTTTGTCTTACAGTGCTGGATGATATGAGTGCCAAATCTTAGAGACCAGTGCGAGAAGATTTTGTTAAAAGCGATGTTTCATTAACTGACTTTTTACAACATATAGTCCTGAAATCCTTCAGTGATAGAGTTGGAGAAGAACTATATGTAATCTTAAGAATTTAAGGAGAAATGGAAATAAAGTTATTACTTATGACAAGAAATTAATATCAACATTAGAATCATAAATAGATATGAACGTTCATGTCAATGGTTTATCAAAAAGTAGATGATAAAAAACATAATTGGCAATTCCTGAAATGTTTCTTTACATTATTTAAACACACACGTATGAATATTTGAAACTATTTTATGCTGTACTATCTTATAAAATACATTTTGCATAAAAATCTAATAAATTATTATAATTTATTACACAATGAAATGAATAAGTGAGAAACCTGCCTTTTCAAACCAAATAACTATTGTCCATACAATGTTCAAATTCAGATTATGTTGGTGATTTCTTGCATTTGACCCCATATTACTCATATTGGGTCCTTTTTCCTGTATCCAGAATAAGCAAGGCAAATACTTGAGGGGGCAGACCCAGCTGATGCTGGACATTGAGTGAGAAGAGCAATGCACACAGAGAAGGGCAGAGGCCCTTACAGCCAACATTTAATCCTATAGTCATTTATTACCTATGCATTTATACCTAATGCAGGTAATTTTTTTAATTTTAAAGAGGTGGAGTACAATTCAGGGTTAGGAACATACGTGGTCATCATACAGGTGAAGTTTGGGCCTCCCATTGGTCCTCACTTCGTTTGGTTATGGATCAGGAATCCTTATTGATGTAATGTTCCCTCCTCCCTCCCTACCCTGGCAGTGATCCACTACTGCCAATACCTTTCATGTAGTATCATGATAAATGTTCAGGATCCACTTATGAGTGAGAACATGTGATACTCAGTTCTTTGTTTCTGTGATAGATCACTGAGTGACTCTATCACGGATCACTGATGAACTCTAAATTCATCCAAGTTGGTGCAAAGTCCATAATTTTGTCCTTCTTATAGCTGCACATAATATAGTGGTGGGTTTATAGTAATCAGTAAGATGGGCAGAGTCCACATTAATGTTCTGGTGGGGAATAAGAAATGAACAAGTAATCCAAAAATTAAGGTAATTTCAGAAATGATAAGTGCTATGAAGGAAACAGTACAAGAAAGTGAGTTAAAGAATGATTTCAGAGGGGTTAAGAAAAGTAATTTAGATGATGTGATTAGATTTGATTCATTAGAAATTAGATTGTGAAAGAAGCAAGTCATTATAGTATTTGAGGACATTGATATGTATCAAGTAGAATATATAATAAACCAACTACAAACATAATGCATAAAATTATACATAATTACATAAAACATACTACTACAAATCTTCTGATACTGGAATAAGAAAAAGCAGTGGGAAATTGTCAATAAATAGAAAGTGCATAACCACGGAAAATCTAAAGTAAATATGATAGAACTCTAAAGCCATATGACAGAAAGTTGGGACCCAAATACAGGAGAATCGTTGAAAATGTAGGAAGAATATTGTGATAGGAATTCATGTTTGAGCCAAAGCAGGAACAGAATCCTATACACGGAAAACATACAGAAGAGATTGCAGCTGAAAAACAGGAGGCCCTTATCAGAAAGAAGAACAATCCAGAGAAAATATATCACAAATTATTTGAGTAGAAATGATGACTCAATAATAAGACCTCCACTTTCCAAAATATCTACCAAATAATTAACTTATTACTGTAGCGTTTCCAGATTAAATGCCATATGAGTAAAAGCTGAAACCATTGCTAGATCATCAGTATATCTGGCTGCACACAGTAGAGCCTAGGAAAAGAGTAGGGTCCCAAACCTAAGACCAGGGACACGTTGTTTTATATCAGTGATAAATTTAAAAATTCTTTGTCATTGATAAAGTACTTATTTATATATTTCCTTTTGCATAATTTGCATAATTCTGTTATTTATATATTTCCTTTTGCATAATCTTCAAGATATGCTGTGTCCAGTTATTTCAACCCCTACCTTCACATGAGAGTGCACTGGCTACCAATTTCAGGCAGCAGGGGGAAAAGATTCTAACATCTTAAGTTCCAATAAGGTAGAGAGTACCTGCAGTAACAGACCTGCAGTTATAGAACCTATTACAAGAGGGAACTCCCATTCTCAAAGAGACATACTAAAACTAAGGACTCTTTATCAACCTTTTTCTTTTTTCTTTTTCTTTTTCTTTTTTTTTTTTTGAGTGAATGGTATTGGTTTGTTTGATTGATTATCTCATTTGGTTGCTTTGTTTGTTCGTTGGTTTTCTATTTCTTTCCCTCTTCTATTTCTCAGTATTTGTTCATTCTCTTTTTTTATTTCTTTGTTTTCTCACTTGTCTTTCTTTCCCTTTTTTCTCTCCTTTTCCCCTCTCTTTTCCCTCTTATATGCTGTCTTGGACTCAAGGGCTATGCAAGCATACCCACTGTAGGGTCATATTGTGCAG